AAAAGTGTTTGTTTCATTCCAAACTGTGACCGTAACCCCGTCTCCATCCATCCTCCGCCCCGTCTCGGGAAACGAGGAACACCTACCCACTACCTCTACCTACCTTACCTTACCTCACCTACTCCCTACGTACCTTACCTCCATACAGTACTTACCTCTACGTACCTACAGAGCTAGGTTGCTGAAACCCTGCTGGCTCTGTGTCTGGCCTGGGCTGCCCTGGCTGCCTGGCTGAGTGCCCTGCCTTCCATGTCCACCAGGAGGACCGGCCCAGATTCCCTCACGTACCTTACCGTACCGTAAAGATGGAGTTCCTGTCAGGCTATGCAGCCGCAAGGGCCCCTTTATCCGCCTACCAGGTCGAGCCGCTGCCGCCTCCACCGTCGACTTCATCTTCTGGCCAGCTGCTGCAGCCCTCCTCCTCCTCCGATCGTCGAGCGCCGCCGCATCCTCTCCATCCCACCGTCACTCGCTCCAAGTCGACCTCGGGCGCTCACTCGCACAGACGCCATCGTCAGTACGGCCACGCCCGCACCAACAGCGCCAGCACCACCGGCAGCAGCTCGGGCGCTCCTCTGCAGGTGGTCAGCAGCGCCGCCGGTCATCATCATCAGCATCATCATCCATCGACACCAGCATCGTCCTCCCACAAGCATAAGCTGTTGAAGCCAGCTTGGTTACAGCCAAGTGGAACACATCACCCACCATCAGATCGCAGCGACGACGCGGCCGCCACAAGCGCTGCCAACTCTGCCTCATCTGCCTCGGCGGGACCGGGACCCCGTGCGACCTCGTCTCTCGAACATTATCGCCCCTCGCGCCGCGACTTCCTCAGCCCTCCCTCATCATCCCATCACCAGCACCGTAGCTACTATCCCGACTGGATACCTACGGCTGGCCTACACCCGAACCCACACCACGGCCACAGGCAGCTCCCCGCGACGTCTCGCATCGACACGCACGATAGCAAATACTGGACTCCCCCCAATACTGCCAGCGCTTCCGAGCCTTCGTCAGCCCGGTCGCCCGTCTCTCGCGCCGGAACCCGCACACTCGCGCCCACTACGAGTAACAACCTCAGTCTTGTCGGAGGAGGAGCTGGCGCCTCCATTGCTTTTGCCGCCCACGCCGCCTCCAGCATCCTCGAGCGTGGTCGTCACGTGCCGCCGTCGCAGCCGCCCCATTCCCAGGGGCAACAACATGCCAGTAGCGCAGCCGGCGCCATGCCTCTCTCGTCCGGCACCAGCTCCAAGATCTCTGGTTATGATGGCTCCCGCGCCGAAAGTGTCTCCAGCATTGCTGGCACCACGGTAAGCAGTCGGACATTCCTCTCGAGCGACCCGCTTCCGAACCCCGACCAGCTCGCCAACAACGAGGCCCGACCATTTGTTGTGCGCAGCGGCCGAACGTACATCTCCGATCCGACGCTGGCGTACCCGCTGCCCGTCGATCTCGAGGAAATACATAGGCAGACCCTGAGGACGCTGTTGCTTCTGCAGCTCTTTGGCAAGCCCATATGCTCGCCCGAGTTCGCCGACCAGCCACCCAAGCGCATTCTGGAAATTGCCTGCGGCTCTGGCGTTTGGTCGATGCTCTGCTACAAGCACTACAAGAAACTCGGCCAGGCTGACGGCATTTCCTTTACGGGTATTGACATTGCTCCCCTGGCTCCACCCAGCAGCTCAGGCAACAGCGACAGTAGCGAAGGGCGCCGCAGCAACCGCGCCTCTTCCTCGTCTGCTACGCTGTCAGCAGCAGGTGGAGGTGGTGCCACGAGCTCTTCGGGGATGCAACCTGACCCGCAAATGAACTGGCGTTTTGTTCAGCATGACTGCCGCAAGTTCCCTTTCCCCTTTCCTGACGGCTCGTTCGATTTGATCATGTGCAAGGACGTGTCTCTCATCACTACTACTGCCATGCAGCAGCCGTTGATCGACGAGTACATTCGCCTTGTTGCGCCGGGCGGTGCCATCGAAATCTGGGAAAGCGATCATACTCTGCGCATGCTAAGGCCGCACGTCCCCGAACATATGCAGAACTCGTCAGCGCCGGCCGCTGGTGAGGATGGGCAGCCGGCCGAAGGTAGCGAGGACAACGAAGTCGAGAAAAGCCCCGAGGAAATCGAAGCCGCCGAAGCCGCCCGCATGGGAGCCTACGTAATGACACCCAACACTCCGCTCTCCTCCCCGCTCAACCATTTCCTGGTGGAATACAACGCCTGGCTGTCCAAAGCCCTCGAAGCCCGTTCTCTGTCGTCCATGCCCTGCACCCTCATCGGCCCCATTATGCTGCAAGAAGCCGAGACCCTCACAGCGATGGGCAACAAGCGGCTGGCTGTTCCGCTATCAGAAGTCCGTTGGGAGCGCGAGGGCGTGGGCGGTGTGGTGACCAAGGATGGAAAGGCGTTTATTTCGACAAAGCCGAGTTTTTCGAATCTGCAAATGGATGCGAATGGGGGAATGGGAAAGACGTTGGGGCCGGAAGCGCGGGCACTGAGGAGGACGACGTTGATCACGGTGGTGCAGATGATTCAGAGTTTGGAGCATATACTGAGGGATGTGAGTGGAAAGAGTCAGGATGAGTGGGATGCATGGTTGGGTAAGATGATGAATGATTTGGTGGAAGGGAATGGGACGAGTTGGGGAGAGTGTTTGGAGGTTGGAGTATGGTGGGCCAGGAGGAGGTGAGGCTATTTGAGGTTGAGGAAGTAACGAGGGAGAGCAGTCAAGGGAGGTGTAGTTTCATTTGTGATGGATCGAATGGTAATTTCTTAATGGTGGCCTCTGTTTCTGGAGTCGAAAGGAAGGAGGCCGGGATATAGGGTGAGCGTGTTTTGGATATGGATGGGTGGATGGAATTGGATGGGATGCATCTGGGTGGGTAGGTCTGGTGGAAGATGTCTTGGATGGACTTATATATGGATAGGTATATAGGAAAGATGGACCTATGAAGTCATGTCCAGTTTCGTGCAGTCGTATCAAGATTCCTTCATTCCGCGTTGAAAACTTTGCTCATATGCAATGACACTGCTATGTGTACAACTTCTGAGATCTGTTCAATTATGACCGTTTCTGTTCACTGACACACCCAAGGAGATCCCATTACAGATACAAGTTTCCTTCACACGTATGTAGAGGTATAAATAACACGAATCAACAACACCAACCCTCACTCACTCACTCACTCACTCACTCAAACCTGAGGGTACTCCTGAAAGACCTGTGGTTCCCCTTCATATTGCTTCTTTAACGTTCGGTATTTCTTGAGATAATATCTGTGTTCAAGTCAATTCCCCATTCTTCACTTTGACCGGGGATGGAGCACCTCTACACTAGACAGGGCAGGATAGGGTCGGTGGGGTAGTACAGGATAGGGTAGGTAACGTAGAGGTACATGTACTCACAAAGCCTGCAACTCCTTTTGTACAAACTGCGCCGTGGCAATCGCCTGCTTGATTTCCCCTTCGTCGCGCAGGTTGGATTTGGACATGAAGGCGCGGTGCAGGCGGGGGCGGAAGTAGTCGTAGCCTTGGGGGTATTCTTTGCCCATGTGGAGGAGTTCTGTTATGTTTGTTTTTGTCAGTCAGTTGTCCGTTCTGTTTTTTTCTGTATCATGGATGGATGGATGGGTGCTGGTGGTGTTGATAGTACCTCTAGTGTAGCCTAGAGGTACCTAGAAAAGTGGAAGAATTCATGGGGAGGATGGATGGAAGAAAAGGTAACGCAAGATACCTTTGTACAATTGGATGACTTGGCGACGGAGGACGGGGTTAGGTGGTGGGAGGGCCATGATTGTTGTTATTGTTATTGTTATTGAAGAGTCAAATAACTTGGTTTCGGATGATTTTAAAAAGAAAAATAGATGCCGATTATTTTGTAAAGGTGGTGGTGTGAATGATGAGTGTTTACATTGCTTCCAATAATGATGATGGTGTTGCTGACTGTGGTGCTACTATGGTGTTGATAAAGAGGAAAGTCCGTGCACATGACTGAGTACCGTAGCGTGACGCCATAGGGGACTGGGGAAAGGAAGTGGAAGTTGGGGACGGGAGCTGCTTGGGGAGCTCTTATCTTATCGGTTGGATGCTGGGCGGCATTGACGAGTTGATCGACTGACTGACCGATTGCTTTGCCATCTCGAGAGGACCCTGGACTTGAACAGCCTTTTCATTCGCCAAAGATGACCTTTCAAGAAGTATTTCCTCTATACTGGTTATATCTTACGGTTAGGGTGACTCGTACATCTTCACTTCTCTGACTGATGGCTTGAGGTTAAGCCGGGTACCCTGACCCGATCTGGCAGAGACAAGCACTAACAGCCTCTTATCCTATTACTGTCGTTAGACTGCCATTGCAATTCCAATACTGACGATGGCCTGCCATGAAAACGATTACTGGATTTCCCATTGGAAATGTGACCATACTCCCCAGCGGCCCAGGTCTTCTTGGTATTCCCAGTTCTCTGGACGCAATCGGCTAAAGTGCCTATTATTCTCTCTGTTAGGTAGCCCAGCCCCACCCCGGCTAACCCCGCTGCCGAGAATGACGGGCTCGATCTACCGATTGACGACGACGGCCAGGCCGAGGCCCGGATCACCGGATTGAACGTCAACCGAACTAACTCCCATTCCTTGGCTCCGTTCCGCTCACTTACAGCATCTTGATTATTGATCACATCATGAATTGATTTTTCGCATTCTCATCCTGCTCAAACTTACCTGTACTGCCGTCCCTCGTTCCTCTCACACGTCCCTCAACAGCTCCGTTATCGCAGTTATCGCAGTCATCGCAACGCAACCATGCCACCAACTCTCCCCGTTATCCCACACTCCGGCCTGTATCTTCTCACCCGCACCACCACCCAACACCTACCAAAAACCATTACCACCACCACCCGCCGCATCTCAACATCCCCTTTCCTCACCACCCATCACCACCACAACAAATCCCCCATAATCACTTCGATCGACCAACAAATCCCCAAACCCCCACCCAAGAAATGGATCACCGACCTCCCTGCCCGCCTGGGGAAATGCATCATCTTTGGCTGTTCTCCCTCTCAGATTAGAGATGCGTCGGTGATTTTGAGAGCGGTGGCGACGGAGTGGCGGGGGTTGTTGGCGGGTGCGGAAGGGTTTTTGACGGGGGGGAGGAGGGGAGTGGATTCAAGGGAGGTGGTCTGGGGGGAGATGGATAGTTTTGTGAGTTTCTTTTCTCCTTTTTTTTTTTCTTTTTTGATGATGAAGTTTGAGGATAAAGTTGGAGGGATGTGAGGGCGGGATGGGGAGAAAGGGGAGGGGGGAAAGGGGGAGAGGAGATGGAGGATGGGTGGGAAGGGTCGGAGAAAAAATTGGACTGGAAGGGGGAGTTGGGAAGTGAAGGAGGAGATGGGGAAGAGAGGGGGGTGAGAAAGAGAGAAAGGAGCGGACAGAGAAGAACAAATTGGACGAGAACATATTGGGAGATGTGCAAGGGGATGGATGATTGAGAAGAGGGGGGTGATGGCGGAAGGTGATAAGTGGGAATGGTCGAAAGGTGGATGTGGTGAGAAGGAAAAAGGGCAGGGTGAAAAAGAAGAGAATACGAAGGGCAGAGAGGAGAGAGTGTGAGGCAATATAGTTGAATTAATGGGGCGGTGAGTACATCAGGATAAGAGCTAACGAGAAGCAATAGGGCCACGTAAACAACGTCAACTACTACCGCTACGCCGAATCCGCACGAGTCAACTGGATCACCAACTTCTCCGTGCACGTCGACCCAGCTCACAGGCAAGAGTGGGCGGAACTAATGCAACCAAAGGCCATCGGTCTAATCATGAAGTCCCTAAAGTGTGATTTCAAATTCGTATGTCCTTTCCCCCTCCATGATTCCCTTCCCCCATTCACCCCCTTACTAACCCTCCCCCAGCCAATGGTCTACCCCGACCGTATCTCCGTCTATCACCGCCTCTCCACGCCGCCCCAGCACGGACAAACCAGCTTCCACCTCGACTGCATCGTCCTCTCGCACCAACATCGCCGCGCCGCTGCCCGGCTGGAAGAAGACGTCGTCATCTACGATTACCGCAAGGCAGGCAAGACGGCCATGCCCGAGTTTATGTTGACTCAGTTTGAGAAGACGTGGAAGATGCAGCAGGAGGAGACAATCAGGGCGCGCAAGAGGATATGGGAGTTGATTGCCGGAGTGGAGAGGTTAGAGAGGGAGACGTGGGATCGAGAAGATGCGAAGGAGGATATGGGAAGTGCGGTCAAGGGGTCATCGTCTTGAGGACGTCTTGAGGGAGGGGTGACTCAGGTACAGTGACAGTCAAAAAATATTGTCACCCCTTACCCTATTAGACGTGTGGGGGAGGGTGACAGTATTTTTTGATTATGAGTTTACCTGGCGTGGACTGAGTTGTTGAATGGCGATGGGGTTTGGATGGCAGGTAAGTGAACGATACCCGTGAATTCCATGGCGGAAAGATTATGCTGACAGTGGACACGGAGAAGAATCGATAGTAATAGAACTGTAACGCCACCACTTGAAAGTCGAGATCTTCCAGCATGTTGGGTGGGCTGCCCGATGCCAGCAGGTGAGCTGATAAAGAAGTGAAGCGAAGTTCCGCAGTGGCAGCCGGTGTTAGGCCTCTCTCGAGACAACTTGGATCCAACTAACAAGGCCAACGGAGACTACTTTATTTTCCCGACTTTCTTCAGGCTTGGTCCTAGACATTGCAATCGGCTTGCAATGAAAGACGCAAAATTTCCTGTCTAGGTGAATGTAATGCGATACTAGTCTTCCATCCTGACTTTCCTCGTCATCTCGTCCAGACCTTTTATCCGCGATCGGCCTTGGATGTCCAACCTTGAATTGACTACCACTCGTCGACTCACTAGACACCAAGACCTTCAGCCTTGTAGGCATGAACATCGCTACCACCACGCTCGACTCGACATTCATTCCTGAGCCTACATTGGCCTGCCATGCTGCAGATGTGAACCTGCTTGCAAGGCCACTTGTTTCGACAAGATATCTTGCTGAATACAGGTACATGTGAGCACATCTAACTCACAAACCATCCCCATCGCCACCATCCCAGCCATCGTCTGCAGAACGGCTACCTCGAACCATTACGGTCATATGTCCAGCTACGGCATTACGAGTATCCTCGCCTCGAAGTTCCGGACTAAGGAGCCCTAACACCACCGCCGATATGCCGATATACCGATGACACTAGCAAACACGTCACTCAATACACCGAAAAAGGACAACGCCACCGTACCGCAGTGACTCAGGGAATACAACTTGAGCTTTCCCTGGAAATCAGGCAACATCTGCAAGCATATGTACTAAGACAACCATACTTCTCTGCCGACCAGAAATTTTATGCAAGACGATGATTTGGAAAGTGTCCTTTTGGAAATCGGTAGGCGGAAAAGAACCTCAAAGAATCGAATATCGGGCTCGCAAGCCATATTCATCAATATTTTTTTCTCTGGCATGAAATGCACATATTCGTGCAGTGTGCTTACAGATTCTGCCTGATTTCCAGGAAACCTAAATCTGGATGGCCCGAGCCTTCGAATACAGATGACTCCGAAGCTCAAAGGGCGCGGCTGGCGCCAAACGGTGGCCATACTGCATTGCTACATGAAAAGGCGTGCATGAAAAGGCGTGCATGCCCCAGCCCTGGATTTGCCGTGGTGTTTTGATCACAAGGAACAAAAGTTGGTCATGCATGGCAACATGGATCCTTCACCCGAACGTCTGGCAGTCAGCCTAAGCCAGACAGTCTGTGTGGAAAACAACTGCCACGTCTTTCGTGGTCCTTTGGCCCGTGTTGTGCGTCTGGAATTCATTTTTCACGCGATCAGCCTGGTTGAGGAAATGCTGGAATCAGAGCTTCTGGTTCATACCTACCTACTGCAAAAGATGCATGTGCAAACCCTTCTTCACAGTCAACAGCCTTGAAGCAGCTGTGCGGGCCCTGAATAATGCAGGCGAGGTGAGAAAACAAGCATGGCATTGCTTTTATTTATTTTTATTCTTTTCCTTCCGCATGCATGCGATGCACATACGCCGAAAAATTATGGAAGTCCTTCGGATTCCATTTTTCTCTTACGCATCTTGCCTTCGTGGCCTTTTCCAATGGCCCTGTAGAATTGTATAAGAACTCACTCCTCCCCCCTTCTGGCAGTTGTGTTTTTTCTCCATCATCATCATCACACACACACTCCAGACCTCTTGATCACTTCTTCTGTTCTAACCAACAAGGAACTTCAACAAGAAACGCTTTCGCTGTTTCCTCTTGCCATCTACTTCAACAACAGTATTCGCCCTACCAACTCGAACAATCCAACTGGAAATCAGTCAAAATGTTCTTCCCCAAGATCCTCATCGGCGGCGTTTTTGCCATGCTCCAGGTAAGCTCTTGGTCTACTGCGATCGAAACCAAACACACACTAATGTTTTTCACAGATGCAGCCTGCCGCCGCAATTCCTATCAATGCCACCGCGATCGCTCCTATCAACGCCACGATGCCAGCCAGCATGACCCTCGCGCGTCGGATCATCGATGTCGACACGGTCGACTGCCATGACGAGTGGTATGAGGAGCCGGCAGTCCGCACCAAGATTGCCATCACAAAGTTCATCCGAGAGGGCATGGAGTACCTCAGACACGTCGCTGGCGTCCCCAAGCTTGGTCCTGGTTCCAACAATTGCGAGCGGGTCAGCTGCTCAAACTGGTCAGCCATTGCCTGGTGCAACCACGTATGTCCTACCACCTGAATCTGAATAATATGAAAAAAAAAACATCTATTGATCCCTTACTTACCTACTTCTTCTCAGGACCCCGACAACTCAAACGAGCTCCCTTCGTATGAAACGATTGCCGAGGCCGCTGAGATCATCCTTGCGTGGTGCAAGGCGAGCAAGAAAGAATTGCATATCAAGGGCCAGGTCTATTCGAAGCAGAAGTGGAGTGTCGTTATTGAGGGAGATCTGTGCTGAGACGGGAGGTGCGCCTATTCTCTAGACATTTTTACGACAAAGGCATGAGGAGCATGGGCATTATCTATCGGAGTGGGCGTTAGTCTTGATCATGGGTTTATGCATTGTACAGGGCACAGGTCTGCCAGGACGGAAAATGTTAGCGACACTAGGATCAGACGAGGTGGTCTTTTTTTGGGGGGGGGGGGGGGGGGTCTGGTCAGTTTTTGGGTTTTTGGGTCTGCATATAACATACCTATCTCACGAAACAACAAGCTGAGGTGGAACTTGGATACCTCTACCGGAGAATAAGTTCCACTTGTCATATCAGTCTTCAGATACGTCGAGGTATAATTGATCTCCTTCTTCTTCTTTTTCTTCACCCTGAACGCTTATGTTGTCAGCAGAAAATTGCCGTGGCCTACTACTCAACCTCAGACTCAGAGCTTTGCCCCTTTCCAATTCTCCATAACAACAAATGCACGGTGAACCGCCACGACGTCCAGCTTATTACCTGTCAGCTTTGACTAGACCTGTCTCAGCATCCTCGTCCATCTTGCCGTAACTCATGACGGGCGTTGAACGTTGGGATATTCGACACTACCTCTAAGGTATGTTTGACCTAAAAAGATGTAAGAAGTGAAAGTCTTTGTTGACAATAAGTTTTCCATCACACATCAGCTTCAGGAACACCACAATTCCAGAAAAGCAATCCAGTGCGTACCATTGCGTCAACACCATTACCTCTATCGTTACCTTATGACAACTGAATGCACCGCAGCCGTCCTCATCGTATCCTCAGTCCTTACCTCCGGGTCTGTTCTGCTCATCTCCCTAATCCAGGTTTGTTCCGAATCCCGTGCAATTGTAGTTTTAGCGGACATTGACTTACATCTACCTTATGGGTCGCAGGTTCTTCCTTATCGCAGCAGTGCCAGCTGCTTCGAACGAACCTCGACAGCCCCATCTCCGGCTATGATATCCAGGAAATTGTCTTGGCACTTCAGGCTGCTGCGGGCATTTCTACCGTCCATGTCACGAGAACCATTCAGGATGTCATCCAGTATGCGGAGAGAGTCAACCCTGGATCCCACTCCAAATTCACCCTCACCCAGCAGCCTCTCAAGGACGAGAGATTCGAGGTCAATAAGTTCAGGTTCTCCTTATTCCCAAGATTGGAAGACAACGGCACGACTGACGCTTTCTGTTAGGACGAAGAGAGCAAGGAACTCGACAGCCATGTTAGCATTGCGGAGGCTAGGTACTCAACAGCTTATTGATAAAGGTCGAATGGGCGCCTTTGTTCGTTATCGGCCTGATCCCCTCAAGGGCCATTGGAATGTCATCATCCAAAGAGAGAATGGTGCAAGAAGACAAGTTGTCGGGGAGCGAGTGAATGCGGGGCGACAGATAGGGAAAGAAGAAGAAGCAATGATGTGGACTAATGGGGTAATAAAGTCGATAATCAGCGAGTTCCGTCTGATATCGTCATAGGCCGTGGCCGGCTGGAGTGGATTGATGACTCCCGTTTTGATGCTGATGGTTCAGTTGAAACTTTGTTATGATGGGAAGATGTGCAATTCCCATGGACAGCCATGAATTCTGTTATCTTCTGTTGATCAAGGCACCCATCAGTTGACGCAAACAGTCAGTGACGGTCGTGGGAAAGAACAGTTCGAGACGTTAGAAAGGGCGACTACAATACGGTGCCGGTTTACCATGCCAGCCCTTGCCAGCCATTGCCAGTAAGTGCTGGCCAGAAAGGGGCCCGTGACAGGTGGCAGCTGGTCATAGCTCAAAAAGCAAGCACACGGACAAAGGTCCGGTAATCACGTGATGCAACCAATGGGCATTAGGTAAGCAGGGCCACGGTGGAGGCTGCTATCTCTGCAGTGCGGTCTGCGAATGGAACTCCATCCAAAGGCGGGTCCGGCTGCGTTGCGCGAGAGGAGGGACCCAGTTCTGGCTGAGACACCAACCACAGCCCAGGAGCCCCGACCAGTCAGGCTAGTAATGACATGACCACCAGCGACCGCCGCCGCCGCCGCCCCCAGTCCACACACCACAACCAACCCGTACACTACACACTACACAACAACAGCATCTTCACACGAGTATCCATTGACGGGCGCGACACCCAGCAAACACGGTTTTATCGGCCGAGTATCGACAGAGGACGCATAGTGTACACAATCATTACCGTACGTTTTTGCCCTCCAGTCCAGTCCAGACTCCTTGGCTCCGACCTCCATCCATCCAGCCTTGGCCCAGACCAGATACCAAGGTAGCCTCGAGCGACGGGAGTGGGAGACTTGGTTGTTAGGTTGGCAAGTCAGTGTGAGAGTGGAGGAACAGCCGGGTGCCACCCAGCCAGCCCGGCCACGGCAACGGCACTGCTCCTATTCCCACCACCACCACCACCACCATCACCACCGCCAACACCCCGCTATACACCACCACCACCATCATCGAGTCTATCTCCAGTCTCACTCACTCTCTCTCTATCTCTTTGGATCAGCTGCTAGTGCGGCGCATTGCATCTTATCTGATCGTGTTCACCTTCTTGTCCCTCCCTGGCCTATTCTTACCACGAAAGACCAAGCTCCTCTTCCAGCCAAGGTGGTGATATTCCTCCTCTCTACCTCACCAACCACACGTGACACACCCCCTTTGCTCGTTACCAGTCTGATTTATGAACTAACTTTCGTCTCGTCCATTGCGCTCGTTCTTAGGCTTGTGCTTCTAAATCACTACATGCGATTAGACAACCGTTAACTTGCGTCGATCGTCGAGCTTGCCTCTTGCCCCCCCTTCTCAACTCAACCACCCTCTCCGAGAAGAATTGAAACGGAACCCACCCGACTACCACTTACACCGACGACGTCACCTTCCTCTCCCCGAGACGATCGACGGTTCAGCGAGTACTCACCGCGCGCGTCAAGACAACCCCACGGCACTCCACGTGCGGTTCCTCCTTGCGCTGCTACGACTACTACACTAGCTCGTGCCCCCCGCTGCCTGCTGTGCTGTTGCGCTGCTGTCGTTGCTGGATGGCCGTCTGAACGTCTGGCACCATCCCCCGCCAACGGCAGACGCTTAGGACACTGCATCCATGCCCGAAGAAGAGACTGCTGTGCTCCATGCCAACTTTGCTTTTCCACCTCCCGACAACATCGACTACCCGAACCTGGTCGACCCAGATAGCTGTTTCACGCGCGACCCTCGCGCCCGACCCCACCACCTTCACAGGCCTGCTCGCCATTCGTCGTCGCTAGATGGCAGATGGTCACCGCTATATGCAGCAGTCCTTCTTGACCCCTCTGCCCACCCAGTTCGCCTCTAACAACCACCTCGCGACGGGACTCCTCCTGAATTCCCTGCTCAACCAGTTTATCGCCGACCCCTCCGCCGCCCAGCAGCAAGCCGCCGCCCAAGCCAACCCCGCCCACAGCTCTGCGACCCAAATTAATCGAGGCATGTACGGCCAGAACCACCCGCAGGGGCACAACCCCCGACTCAATGGCGCCGCGCCAGGCCGACAACCCAACATGCCCATGTTCTACAACCACGTACCACAGCAAGGCCATCCACACCAGGGGCACAATGCGCACCACCAGGTCCTCCAGGCCGGCCACTCGGGGCATGGCGCGAGGAACGACCTGATGAGCCATTCGACCTTCTCGAGCGGCATCATGGGCAACGCCAGCCCTTACACTACCAACAATCTCCAGAACGGCCACTCGGTCGCCGCTAGGGGCGGTCCGGCTGAGCAGCCCGCCAACGAGCATTGGCAAAAGCAAATGCGCCTAAAGGAAGAGTCGGATCGCGCACATTCTGCAATGACGGAGCAGCACCAACCTCATTACTACGCGCGGCTTAAGGCGCCCGAAAATAAGGGGATTGGAGGAGCCCTGACTGCGGGTGGCACAAACGCCTCGGGTGACTCCGAGGAGGAAGTGAGGAGAAGACCCTACCAAGTGGAAAAGAGGAATAGACGACAAGACTGGCACAATCTGGACATGAGTGGTCAGGGCCTGCGCGCTCTTTCCTCGGCGCTGTTCAGCTATGACTTCTTGGTAGAGCTCTATATTGCCTCCAATCGATTAACGTTCCTCCCCGCCGAGATTGGCAAACTGCGTCACCTCAAGATTTTAGAAGCGTCCAACAACCTACTATCCGAGCTTCCCCCGGAGATTGGCATGTGCACCAGCCTCGAGAAACTGCTTTTATTCGACAACCAAATCAGAGATCTGCCCTACGAATTGGGCTCCCTTTACAAGCTGGATATTCTTGGTATTGAAGGAAACCCAATCAACCCGGGTCTCAGGGAAGAGATCGTGGAACGTGGAACAAAGAGCTTGATCAATAGCCTACTTGAACAAGCACCAGGTGAGTACCACATTTGTAGCTCGTAACAGCTGTCAAGCTAACGCGCTTATTGCAGTTCCTCTTCCTCCCAGTCCTCGGAAACCCATCGTCGTACAAGAAGACGTATCGCCCAGTCTCGAGCGGATCAAGGTGATGACCTGGAATATCCTATGCGACAAGTTTGCGACAACCACCATGTACGGTTATACGCCTACGGGAGCGCTCTCCTGGGAATACCGAAAGGAGAGGATTCTCCAGGAAATACGGGACAGGGACGTGGACATGTTGTGTCTGCAGGAAATTGCTACGGACGTGTTCAGGGATTTCTTCAGCCCGGAGCTGGCTCAGAATGACTATAAGGGTGTGCACTGGCCACGGCCCAAGGCCAAGACAATGAACGAGAAGGATGCGGCAGCAGTTGATGGATGCGCCATCTTCTACAAGGGAAGCAAGTGGATCCTGCTCGACAAGCAGCTTATCGACTACGCCAACATTGCCATCAACCGTCCGGACATGAAGAACCAGCACGATATCTTCAACCGAGTCATGCCCAAGGACAACATCGGCATCATCTGCTTCTTCGAGAGCAGGCGCACGGGCGCGCGCGTCATTGTCGCCAACACGCATCTGGCTTGGGAGCCAACACTAGCCGA